ATGTCCTAATTTCTAGAATTTATGAATGTTACCTTACATGGCAAAAGAGATTTTCTAAAGTGATTAAGTTAAGGGTGCTCAGGTGAAGAGATTATCATGAATTATCTGGGTGGGCCCTATGTAATTACAAGAGTCCTCACAACAGGGAGGCGGGAGGGTCAGAGTGAGGGAAGGGAGATGTGTAGACAGAAACAGAGTGATGTGGGGCCATAAGCCAAGGAATGTGAGTAGCCTTTAGAAACTGTGAAAGGCTCTTCTAGAGACTCCAGAAGTAACATAGTCCCATGGGCACATTTTAGATTCCTGCCTTCAGAAATGTGGGATAATAAATTTGTGGTGTTTTGAGCCCCTCAATTTTTGGTAATTTGTTATGGCACCTATAGGAAACTATGGATTATGTAGTTACAGATTATGGTACCTGTAAATGAGGTGCCACTATAACAAATACTTAAAAACGAAGAGTGGCTTTGGAATTGGATAATGGGGAAAGGATGAAAGAATTTTGAGGAGCATGATTGAAAAAGTGTAGATTAGATTGCTTTGAACAGACTGCAAGTAGAAATACGGATGTTAACAACTCAGCTAGAGACGACTCAGAAGAAAGTGAGGTGCACAGTAGGGAAAAACTGTATCATCTTAGAGAATATAAAGTTGTCAAGCAGATTATTGATAGAAATATGTGTATTAAAGGCACACTGGTGACAGCTCAAAAGGAAATAAGAAACATGTTATTAGAAACTGGAAGAAAGAGGATCCTTGTTATATAATGGCAAAAAATTTTAGCTGAATTATATCCTGTAGTTATGTCAGAAGCAGAATTTGTAAGTGATCAACTTAGATATTTAGCTGAAGAGAATTCCAAGCAAAGTGTTAAAGATGTGGACTAGTTTCTTCTTTCTTCCTTCTTGTCAGAGGAAAGAGGGAGATTGAGGGAAGAACTGTTAAGCAAAAAAGAACCAGAATTTGATGATTTGGGAAATTCTTAGACTATTAAGATTGCAAAAGAGGTGAAAAATTATATTTACTGTCAGGAAAGAGTGCTCTGGAGAGAAGCCCAAGGATGCAGCTGGACGATCTTTTGCTAGTGCCCCAGAAAGATCAGAAGATCAGAATATTCATTTACACAAACGGCTCTTTGAAAAGATTACACATGTGACTTATGGGTCTCCTCAGGCATCTCAGCAGAAGCCAGAAATAAAGATGGGATTATTCAGGAAGGATCTGTGGAGGAGCTTCTTATCTGATGGAGTGAATCTTTATGACATACACAGGAGACCCACAAGGTTCTTAAGAATGTTATATTAGCAGAAACAATGCCAGCTTGAACTAAAAGAAACAGAGAGAGGTCAAAATGAAAGAAGGCTGATGGGCTCCCAAAATTCTACCAGCAGGAAACAGGCTGATAAAATTACTGAGCTGCAAACATGTTTTAACCTTCATGAAAAAGGAAGAATAACTCCAATGGTGAAGGTGAAAGGCCACAAGGCAAAGCAGCAAGCCACAGATTATTCCCAGGCCTTAAAATCTAATAGAGCTTATGTGGTTGGATTTCAAAATTGCTTGACAGGTGATTCTTTTTTACTTCCATTTTCTTCCTTTTTGAATGGGAATGTCTACAATTGGTATTCTATGACTGCGCCTGGGGAATGAGTTGATGAATGCAGCATTTGATAAAACTCATCTGGCCACTTTGTGTTTAGGATTGAAACACAAAAACCTGTTAAGATGCAAGCATGAATAAACTTATGACACACTTTGAGTCAGGCACTATGCTCTGTACACTTTCCTCTCATTTGGTACTTTCTATCCATATCCTTTATCATACATAAATCCAACTAAATCACTATATTCTGACTCTTCTAACCCTCAGAGCTCTATTCTGTAATTGAGCATAATATATATCTTGGAACACAAGATCCTCATAATACTCGGAGTGAAAGTGCTCTGTGGGCAATCAAGTTTAACCAAATACACACTATATACCCTTCTTGGACACTTACACAATGAAAACTGGCATATTAAAGGCTCTGAGAAAGCCGTGCAATGAAGAACCTTGTTTTA